TATAAAACCTGCTGACTGCCATTGACGATTGCCAAATAAACGGATCACAAGATGTTACAAAATGGATCTTTTAAAATTATTAATTTAATACCAAACAGAAAACAATAAACTTGCGGAAAAGATGGTATACCGCTAACAAAAGGTGCAAAAAATAGTACACCATATCCGGATTTCGACAATTAATGTCTCTTTAGTGATGTTAGGGATCGAAACGGTATTTGGAAGGCCATATAATTTACCTCAATTTAGGATAGACTCTTGAATTTTAAAGAGTCGAAATAGAATGAACGGATCATATAAACCCGAAGGAAAATATAATACAAGCCCAAACGAAAAAATATAAACAAGTCTAAATTGAAAACAACGTTCAAACCTATGATTGCGTTGGATAAACCGCAATTTTTATACGTGTGCATGTAAAACAAATTTCTTTGTAGAGGGGTCAAAATACAGCACAAACAACATTTTCCAAAAGACCAAAAAGTGAAAAGTATATTTTTACAAAACGCATTTGACTAACAGGTCGAACAACTGATGTTCTTAAACCCTGCTGACTGCCATTGACGATTGCCAAATAAATTGATCACCAGATGTAATCAAACAGAAAACAAAAAAACTTGCGAAAAAGATGGAATATCGCAAACATGAGGTGTAAAAATTTGTATACACCATATCCAGATTTCGACAATTAATGTCTCTTTATTGATGTTAGGGATCGAAACGGTATTTGGAAGGTATTTATTATATATATATATATATATATATATATATACTTTTTCACTTTTTTGGTCTTTTGGAAAATGTTGGTTTGTGCTGTATTTACTTTTTCACTTTTTTGGTCTTTTGGAAAATGTTGTTTGTGCTGTATTTAGACCCCTCTAACAAGAAATTTGTTTTGCATGCACACGTATAAAAATTGCGGTTTTTATCCAACGCAATCATAGGTTTGAACGTTGTTTTCAATTTAGACTTGTTTATATATATATATATATATGTATACATTATAGTTGTCACTTGCTTAGACTTGATTGTATGATATACTTATTTCTTGTGACTTTATAATGAATTAAAATTTGAAATGAATTATCCCATACGGTACATAAAATTGTTGAGTTAAATTGCTGACAAATAAGAATATATTGTGTATTTAATAATAATATAACATCTACACACGCTTAAACACATGTCTTATGTCTATCTCTAGTTTCGCCTTACGCGACAACGTAACACTACGACTATAAAAGTTATATTTTAATATAGCGGATGTGGTCGAGAGGTCTAGAGCGCTGGACATGAGGCTTAGCGATTGGTGCTGTAGTGTATCAAAGGTGTGGGTTCAAATCCTATTGAGGGACTAAAATTTGTCAGCATAAAAATTTAAATCTAACACTGCTGGGTTTAATTTTCAGACATATATATATATAGCTTAATAAGTCACCAATATATTCACATCAGAAGAAAACAAAACAACTGGAGATAAAACTATCAACAAATAAGCAAATAAAATGCAGACAATTTTGCATCCTTCAATTCTTGGTTTGTAAAAATCCTAACAAACACGCCTTCAAATTATTCATTTCAAGAAAAAAAAGACGTGTTTTTATATGAAATATATATATAAAAAAAAGTAGATGACGAATATTTATGTTTATGTACGTCCAAGCGTATTGCAAACACAGTATTCATAAAAAAATGTATCACAGTAAATCGACGAAAATTTGACAAAAGATTATTACAAAGTATATACAATTCTTTAGTGTATACAATAATTTATTATTAATTGAATACATCTTGGACAATATAAATTCACATTGTAGCAAGTAGGATTCAGAAACAAGCAACAAGTGCATATATTAATATGTCGCCTTGTTGAAATGAATACAATATACAAAAATAAATCAAAACTACATAACTACTAGTCTTTAATGACTAAAATGAGTACTGAATTGATAAAAGAAAGATTTCTTGGTTTCAATCATTTATTTTATATTTTTTTCTTTAACAATAAAAATAAAAACAAAAAATGAATGAAACATGCAAACCATAAATGTACCAACTGACTTAGGCTAATTTCAAGGAAAGTAGAAATTCCAAACGGTATAGCACAATATGAGACCTGCCAAACCCGAAATAAGACAAAGACTACCAAAGTATAGAGTGCAGCTATTTTAGAAATGTATACAAGATAAATGAATGCAGTCATAATTGTAGTCGGTTTTACTAACTGATTTTTTATATGCTATAGTTTTGCTGAAAATATATTTATTTTTCAGTTATTTCTGTTGCTGGCGCATTGGTATTTATTGTACTATTAGTTACAATATTTATTGTAATCCAAAGAAAAAAAAAGGTAATTTTCTTTTAATTGTATTTATATATTCTTCTATGTTGATAGTAAAGTACAACTGTATCTGTAAGTGTCAATTTTATAGAATGTTAATATTTGAATATTTTTATACAGACCTGTTTATTTATTACACCAATATACTTCATATACTTTTTGCATGTTATTTGATATCTTTGTAATAAATATGTTAGTTCATTTTAATTTTCAACCCCATCTAGCATCTTGTGAATTTGTGATTAGTATTTCAAACATTTTCAATTGTGTTTTAAATTTATGAGCTGAAAATATGAAATATATTTCACTACTTCACAGATTTGTTTACTTATTTAAGGAGACGTATAAAATATTTCTCGCGTAATTCTACATGTAATAGTGTGAATCGGCGTGCTAAAGGAGAATTGCCACTGCATATGCTTAGCAGCAATTACAAGTCTAACAACAGAAAAAGTAGGATCATCGGTTCTTTAGAAAACACAGAGCTTGAGAAACACTTCAGCTTCAGGTTGCCAAGATTCATTTGATGAGGACAACTTATATGAAACACCACCATGCTTTCTTTAAGTAGTCAAGTTGAAGAGGGATACGACGTTACTCATTGTCAGTTGTAATCCGTTATAGTTACTGTTCTTGTGTTGGTATTCACTGTAGAGTTCATATTGAAAAATTCTTTAATTTGGAGATTAAAGGAATACGAATATTTTTTGTTATAACTGATTATTTTTTTTATTTATTTTGGTATTAAATTAATAATTTTAAAAGATCCATTTTGTAACATCTTGTGATCCGTTTATTTGGCAATCGCCAATGGCAGTCAGCAGGGTTTAAGAACATCAGTTGTTCGACCTGTTAGTCAAATGCGTTTTGTTAAAATATACTTTTTCACTTTTTTGGTCTTTTGGAAAATGTTGTTTGTGCTGTATTTTGACCCCTCTACCAAGAAATTTGTTTTACATGCACAATGTAACGCAATCATAGGTTTGAACGTTGTTTTCAATTTAGACTTGTATATATATATATACATATACATGTATTTATCTTTTTATAAATGTATGTTGTATGTGGTGAGACTTTAATAAATTATTGAATCTGAATCTGAACCTGCTTGACCTTAATTGAATTTTTTATTTATTGCGGCTTTTTTTCTATTCGAGTACGATTTTAGACAAAGTGCAAGCATGTCACACGAAATGATTGGTTGTTAAATTTTGCACAGAAGGTTATTTTAACATGACCTTATGGGATGTCTTCAGTTCTGATGGTCGCGGCAAACAAATATAACGGAGGGGAGTAAACAAACATATTTTAATCAATAAGTAGATATTAACTACATTTACAAGTTATTTTGCCAGTTGAATGGTGCTGCTTTTCATCTACATCTCACTTCAAGGTTTCCAGTAGGTAAAGCTGCACCTGTAGTATTATTTGTTTCATGTTTAATAGTTCATGCCTGTACTAAAATAAACTGAGACTTAAAGATACGATGTTTTGAAGACTCCAGTTATGATAAAGCTGCAGTCATCTTATCGAAAATTTCACGGAATCAATCAAGAGTTGGTTGACCGTTATGGAATATATGTTTTACAGATGACGACGGATATATTCCACATGTCGTACCCGCAATCCCGTCCTCTTTTCCCCCGAATGGGACAATAATAAATAAGTCCTATCACCGAATGTGTACTTACATTAGTATCACGACTCACCTGATATTCTCTCCATAATTTGGTGGGTTCGTGTTGCTTAGTCTTAGTTTTCTACATGCATGTATGTTGTGTTTTGTAGACTGTTGTTTGTCTTTATGTCCTTTTCGTTGTTTGCAATTGCGTTGACTGACTCATGAGTTTTAGTTTTGTTTTACATCAACATTCGTCCAAAGGATATCTTATAATCTTGTCTTTCAAATCAAAATGTTATAATAGAAAAGTTTTCAAAGAGTCAAGCATTTATTTCCTTGTTAACTTGCCATTGTTTCGTTTCTTTGTTTTTATATTATTATTGTTATTATTATTATTATTATTATTATTATTATTATTATTACTATTATTATTATTATTATTATTATTACTACTATTATTATTATTATTATTAATATTACTATTATTATTTTTATTATTATTTTTATTATTATTATTATTATTATTATTATTATTATTATTATTATTATTTAGATATGAAGTAAGGTACATGCAAATGAGACAGTAAACTGATGATATAAAAAAACCCAAACACGTCAAGTGGACAAAAAGTATAACAAAAATACATAACTCCATGGTGGATTCAAAAAGGGGAAGTACATAAAAACCACAAAATCAAACTTTATCAACCAACGAAACGAGTAGAAAAAACTGTCCAGTTTAACAATAGAAAGGTGTATTTACACTAAAAAAATTCTAGCCCTAGATTTTTGAAGATTTCAAAAGTTTGAAGTTTCACTGCATTGTTTAAAGCCAAACAAAAAGACAACAATTTATGTCTGACGAATATGATGTCATTTACTATTTTCAAAATGAACTGTAATGATTAAAAATATTTTTGTGCTTTTTAGGAAATAATATTTTGATGAAATTGAACCTTGATTCAAAAAAACAAACATAGACACAAATGTGTCCGGTTATTGTTCAATATGAAGTCTAGACTTTGATATAATGACCCTTGTAACGGAAATCACTCTGGATAAAAAAAAAACAAATTTGAAAATTGATGTTATAGAATGTTGTAATTATGTTTATCATACATTTATTGGAGTTGTTCTTATTTTCAGCGGTACATGCAGGTATTTAAAATTTGTTTAGTTGCTTATGATGTAATTGAAATTGACGTGTTTTTACGTTACATTCCCGTGAGTCAGAGTTAATTTGAATTTTACGTGAAAAATTTCACGTTGAATAAATAAGCATCAAAGTTCACGTGAAAAGAAAATCATTATAGAATCATGTGAACTGAATTAAAACTTGAAAATTTCTGAAAGAAAATACAATCTTGAGTAAGTTTAATAGCAAGGAAAAAGAATTCACACGCGAAATTATAACTTTAAAACTGCCTTTGTGCCACATAATTTACGAAAAATGTTTACAATACCGTATATCGGTTTTTTTTCGCGTGTGTTTAATTTTCGCTTCGTTCGCGGCTGCAAAAAAAAACGTGAATATTTGACCCCACGTAAATTTCCCTGTATATTTAAAGATTTACCGTTGTTTGAAAGTTTTATACATTCAACTGTTAATTGTTGAGTCTTTTATGTTGTTCGACCACAGATCAAAAGAATGTGTATACTTAATTAAGATCTCTGTTTTCATACTAATTAAATTGGCTTATCGTACGTGTCACACCTTTTGACAACACAGCAATCAGTGACATGTTTAAAAATGTTAATTAGCGACAATCCATTGATCGGTGTCATAACCCGAACAAATTGCATATAATGTCAAAATAAAATAAAAATAAATCAGATTTACACGGATATTTGTATATCTGTAACGATCAAAACCTTCTATTTTTAGCATGTTCCTATGTACATCAAATCAAATTTATGTTGTTTACATCTTTTACGATACGATACAGTTATTTTTTCGCCTGTATTTTGCCATTCAGCGAAAATAATACACAGTGAATATTTAAACTGCCCATTTTGTCATCAAATCGCGAAAAAAGCCGACGCAAAAAAAACCCGATATATGTGTCAGACCACCAATTACTCCCTCTATTTAGAACGTATGTAAAAGTAGCCCTACTCTGACACAAAATAGTGCTTTTGTTGTCCTTGTTTACTTAAACTAACCAACAAATTTGCAGAAATGAAACTTTTGGTGAAAGAGAAATATATTTAGACAATTTTGAGCAAATATTTACTTGTCTATGAGTTTGCATTAAAAATTGAGGATTAATGCGCTCCATAGTATACTAATTTAAGATTTCCAGAAAACCAGGGGTTATTTTTGGAGTACCTCTTTTTGAAGGTCAGTTTTTTTCTAAGAAGGCTTTAAATGTATGTTGAAAATTGGCATGCAGAAAGCTGATACATGTACAATTCAGGATATACCTGATTTCTATGAAGTTAAACTTAAGGTAAAATATTTAGAAAGCTGTGAAAATTGCAAAATTTGGTTGAACAGATGGGGATATTTAATTGGTGGTCTGAAACCTATACGGTATATAACATATTAACATATTCAAAAAGTTGCGCTGAATTTCTATGTAATACCATGATTACAAGGAGATGAGGGGCGTACTTAAATAAGATAACAACACAAAAAGTCATTTACTTCTAAACTGTTCAACTAACGATCTTCTACAAAGGACAAGTCTTCATAATATTTTTAAGTTCTAAACTTTCCCACGTGTGAAATAGTTGTGAATATATATACATAGACCCCCTTAGATAAAACTGAGAATGGAAATGGGGAATGTGTCATAGAGATAACAACCCGACTAAAGAGCAGAAAACAGCTGACGGCCACAATGGGTCTTCAACGCAGCGAAAAAATCCCGCACCCGGATTTAACATACAAGATTAACAAAGAACAGAGGCTCCTGACTTGGGACAGGCGGATAAATGCAGTGGGGTTAAACATGTTTTGTTAGATCTCAACCATCCCCCTATACCAATATACTCTAGCCAATGTAGAATAATCAAACACACAGCAATACGCACAGTAAAACTCAGTTTAAAAGAAGTCCGATGTTAGAATAGGTAACAAAAGAAACTAAGCAAAAGGCCAATGATACATAAATTAACAAAGGACTACACTAGTAGCACGATTTCAGTCTGAAACGGTCATTTTGGTCTGATCATATCTTAATCGACTGGATTTACCGCTAGAGAAAAACGTCAAGACTTTTAAGAACTTTTCAGACGCCGTTCCGATCGATAGTCGCATTAGGTAAATCAGTCCGTTAAGGCATGTCAAGATAAACAAGACTGAATCTTCTAGCGAGCTGTTAAGATCCGTTACGACTGATTCAGTCGAAATCAGACCATGGATACAAAATTACGTCAAGATGTTGTCAGACCGTGTTCAGTCGTGTTCAGATTTTAATAATTTGGACACAAAACGAGTGAAACTTTCCCAGTGTGTATCAGGGGTTACCCCCCTTCAAGAGTAACATACAAATTTTTAGAAAGAAGACGGTTTATGTTACTTTGATAGTTTACCATGTCTACTTAATTAAAAAAATAAAACAATTTTAATTCTTACTTTTTCCTATGTAATTATTAAACATGTTTTATATTAAAAAAAAATATATTGTTGTTGTTGTTTATTTATTTATTTTGCGATCGTGTTTGACTTGTGCATTCGACTTTCCTAAAGGTATCTTTTATTTTTTTATTCTGTCTATTTAGAGTCTTTTATAACTTGTTTTACATACCAGAAGCCTTCGTTTAAAAATAGAATTTATATATTATTGGAGATGATGGTTTATGAATTCATAAAATTCAAATTTATATTTGAAATATATTTTGATAAATTATCATGATGATTATGCGGAAGTGAAAATGTTCCGTCGGTGTATGTGAAGAAAATTTAATAAATATGACTAAGTTACACATATATTATACAGCATGATAAAACTGGTTTAATTTGAATTACTTTCCATTAGGGACATTTTCCGATAATAATTAATCAAATCTGTCAAGTTTTATTAAAAACGGAAAACAATTCTTCACCCGTAAACGATTTAACGTTACTGTATCCACTTTATTTTTGTTGCATTCTGTCGGCGGAAAAGCAAGTCGGCAAACTATAATTCCTTTACACAAAATCGTAGAAGGGAAACTTACAGTACAATATAAGCTGCTCTGAATATTGCAATCGGTGAGTAGAAATGAACAATATTTAAAAGCATGTCCATCAGAATTTGAGAATAATCAGGGATCCAAGATTTTGAAGGGAAAGTGTGCACATTTGTTCCTACAGGTATGAATCAACGTTCTATATCATCGCACTCGTGCATATTGGCATGTTCCAATGCAACGTTAGGATGTAGGATTGTAAAAAGTTTATGCATCGTTGAAATTCATGTATGACACCATTCCCCTCCCCTTTATCATGTTTATAAAATTATGTCATTTAAACCCTTACGACTTATGTACTTCAAATATATCCCAAGGGTGACAAATTGAAAGGAATAGAAAAAAGGTTACTCTTGGTTTTCATCCAGTGGTGGATCCAGGGGTTCCTGGGATTGGACCCCCCTTTTTTGGAGGATCGATGCATTTGAAAGGGGACATATAGTTTGAACCCCCTTTATCCTGGGTCGGGACCCTCCCCCCTTTTAAAAACGGCTGGATCCGCCTCTGTTTTTAAAAGCTTTAAAAGCTTTTAAAAGCTCTTCAGAGCTTATGTTTTATACTTGTATTTGCACATACCGACTCTAAATAAAGCTTTATGTCTTATGTCTTATGTCTGTTCATCGTCATACTGTTAAACCCTAACATGTGGTACATTGGTTTGTTTGTGCAGGATGGCCTATTACAGGACCTATAGGCTATACATATTGTATGATAATGTTAATGTATTGATAACTGTCTCATCCTAGATTTACATGAATAATTTGTCACTGGATTTTTTATTACCAACAACCAAACAATCTTTACATGTCCATTTTCATATAATAACTTTGCTAACGCTGGTTTATAAGTATGTCCCTTGTTTTACTTAATTACCTTGTGCCCGTTGTGGGCTATGCGGATGTACAATAATTACTATTATAAAATTATTTAATAGAATTTGAGATAATTCAAGTTGAATTTTACTACAAATCAAATATTTATATATAAAATGTTGTGAAAATTATTTATTTTATTGACTTATTTAGCAAAAATGCATGTTCAGTATATTTTTCAAATAATTCCTGAGTCATGGACAACGAAACATGAATAGATTTTATAATATAATAAAGCATTGAAAGTGAATATCTATTAGATGGTTCAAAATAATATAAATCATCAAAATAAAACAATGTTATTAAATTAATATTCCTGAAACAATGCACAGAGTCATAACAGTTGCCATTTAAAAAACAGTTGATAAAACAAAATGAGTTAATTGTTTCATCATGTACAGTACCCCTGGGCGCGACCTATAAAGATTCATATTGAACAAGTGTTGTGGAGGTTTCATCTTTTCTCAAAATGAATAATTACAATGAACATGATGAATAAAATATCTGTAAATATTTTATCATGTTATGGTGGAGGGATGACACTCTGCACACAGCACACAGATTTGTCTTATATTATCATTCAATCCAAAGAACTATGAATCAAATTAGTGTGGCCTAAACTATATATTTTCATGTGAACTTTGTCAGTTATTACATAAATTTTGCCCTGTTAGCATGGTTAGTTGAAATTCATTGATGCCTTTTTACTTGTCTTGGTTTTGGGACTGCTGTCTCTTTGGAATATACCCAACATCTCCTTTTAATCATGTTATGGAATTGGCATGAATGGTCGTCCACATGAAAAACATATAAAATATACATGATGATGTTCAAGAAGATTTATACAGGGTTGAAGAGTGGTGCAAAAGGAATAACATGTTCATTAATGCAAATAAAACAAAATGTTTGGTTACTGGAACAAAGCAGAAACTATCAATTCAGACTTATCATTCAAACTTGATAATAAATTCAAAAGTATTACAAAATTCTTCATGTGAAAAATTATTAGGTGTTAAAATTGACAGCACACTTAACTGGAGAAATCAAATTGACCAAGTTTGTGCTAATATATCATCCAGAATATACCTTCTTTCTAAAATAAAGAAATTTTTAGATATAAATGCATTTATTTCTGTTTTTATTAATCATTCTTTAAACTTATCTTTGTAGTAATTTTATAAAATGATCAAAAGAAATATCAGCTGTTGTGTTTTAGAGAGAAATAACTATGTCAGACTTTAAAGAATTGATCAAAACAAATGTAAAATGCTAGCCTCAATTAGACAGTAACCCTTCAATGAAGTACACACATAAGAAAACATTAATGTAGAAAGAGAGACAATATCTTTTTAAAAATAGAACCAAAAGAAAGATTTTATTCTTCCTGTTATATGAGACTTATATATAAGTTCAATTGTATAAGTCATAAATACAGTTGTATTAGTCATAGAACTTTGTTATCAAGCAAATTAGACTCGCCGGTTTTTCTTCTAGATAAATACAAGTAAATATATACAATATTAGATTAGTTTCAGTACTTTATTCTTAATGTATTTTTTTTTGTAGAATTCACATTAGTTTGAGCATCATTCCCAGCCAGATTATGAAGCCGTCATATACATGATATAGGAAATATATATAGATTTCACTAAGTAACTCTGATAGCTGCTAATTGTGAAACAGTAGATTAATTCATAATTTTGTGTTTACTTATTGCTTTTGTAAATAACAAATAGGGCTTACAGCATTATGCCATGATGTTGATGGGATGTTCGGATTAGATTGGACAAGAAGAAAATTGTGCATTGAACAAATAGCAAACTTACAATTTGTAAGAAAGACTACATTACTTGATGACAGTGAATACCTTTGATATATTATTCCATTGAAATAACAATTTGGAATAAAGAGAATTCATAGTTTTCTGGGAATATTAATAGTGCATCATATCTGAATTCCATGAATATCTTGGATAGTTATTCATTTAGAATAGCAAATTGGAATAATGAAAATTCATAGTTTCAGTGATTACTAATAGTCAAATCAAATCAAACTTGTATTGCCATATACATGTACACCAACTTATACCATTTGTGACAAAAACAACATTAATAATTATATACATTAAATGACAAGAAAAAAGCATGTATCATCATATTAAACAAACTAATGAAAATAGTTCAAAATTCAATTATGAGTCTCCTATCCTTAGTGCGAATGACTTTTTTTATAAAGGAACCTATGCTTTCTATCTGTTTTTGTGTTGATGGGCAAAGAATATTTATCATTTTTTTCATTTTCATTGAGCATGTTGAGGCTATTAAAATTTACTATACTTTTAGCCTTTTGTTAATTTTTCAATAAAAACTGGTCTAATGGTAGCGTTTTTCCTGCAATCATGGCAATAGAAAAGAAAAATTAATGTTTTTCATCCTCAACTGTATTGCAGGACTGACACAACTGGTTTTCCCTAGGGATTTTTAGGATCTATAGTGCATCATATCTGAATTCATGAATACCTTGGATAATTATTCATTTAAAATTTGGATAATGAGAATTTCTGGTTTCTGTGAAATTTATAGTACATCACATCTGAAGTTAATGCTGTCATTGCTATTGTGAGCTACATGTACCACCAGGGGGTGTTAAACGACCTTGACTACCCATGAGGGTCTGTCACAGCCCTCGCATGCTTGTAGGTTAGTGTCAAATGACTGCTTGTTGTACTTATAAGAGTCTGAATGTACATGCATGTATATTGATAATAGTCTAAATTATTGGTCATACTGAACATGCTGAAACTTGCATTTTATACTGGTCAAGCATATTAAACAATACATGTACTTCAAAGTATCATTTTATTGTCTCACCTACGACAAAAGTTGGTGGTATGCAAGAAATAGGTATTACAATCTGGGGGTGATGATGTAAACTATTTTTTAAGCTTTACATTTTAAAAGCTAAAAGATCTGGATGCTTCTTATCTTGTATTCAGATAGCTAATATGTTATGAAGTTTCAGTCTGTCATTATACTCATATGTTCATCATGTTCATTGCACCTGACCTCATTTTCATGGTTCAGTGACTGTATGAAAAAAATACTGTTTTTTTTTACAGTGAAATGCTCTCTTATATAAGTAATTGAATACATTTTTTGTATATGAGTATCTTGCAAGGTCTACTTGTCTATCAGGTTGGGTTGACCAGACCTTGACTTTATTTCATGGATAAGTCATGACTTAAGGTTATTTTATAGTCACATTGTTAAGTTTGTTTCGCAGATACTATATATATATATATATATATATATATATAAAAGCAGTACTCAAGTCATGCCAGTAGACCAACTTCATGTTTATTTGATGTATGGAACAATTGTACAGTGTATTATGTCTGACTGGTAGGGTTCATCAGACATTGACCTGTCATGGGTTCTTTGAACAATGTTTAGTTTTTGTGGTTTGCTCTATTTTCCAATGTTTCTTTAGATGCTATAAGCTACATGTATAGGATCACTATTTTTGCATGATATGGAATGATTGTTAGGCGTACATGTTTGATTGGCCGGCTTCATCTGACTATGACCTCATTTTCAAGGTTCATTGGACAATGTAATTTTCATGCTTTGGATGTTTGGTCTTTTTTTCAGATACAATGTATATAAACCACTAAATTTTGGGTGTGGAATTAACCTATTCATCACTTTATTTATTCATTTAGTTATTCAAATTTTTACTCTATATTATTTTTTAATATTTTTTTTTGTCATTCTAAATTATATCAATTACCATATGGTAAAAATTAAATTATTTAATGCCCAAAAAAGCGCAAGCCAGGGCTGACCGTGCAAGGGCTGTATAGCCAGTCAAGGTCGTTAAAAACTTCCATTTGTTGTATGGAATGACTGTAAGGTTTACATCATCTATCTGGCATGGTTAATTTTACCTGACTTCATTTTAATGTAGTTTTTAATAATGTAAAGTGTATGTGATTTGTAGGCTAGTAAAACCTTCATATTACAGAATTTCAACAACAATTCAATTATACTCATGTACATGTAGGTAAAGCTGAGACGTGATATTTCAGCATGTGCAATCTTATTTACATCACCATCATGACCAATGATCATGTTGATCATAGCTGCTTTTTTGTCTCGCCTTGACGGAGTCAAAAAGCGAGACATAGGTTTGCTGTGGCGGCGACGTCAACAATGTATTAGTTTGTGATTAGGTCTAGTTCATGGTGAACCACTAGTGGTAGGTGAATGATATTTGGTATGCAGTTGTATTAGCATTGCCACATCTCATTACCATGGAGATTATTTGGCTTCGCCCCATCAGTCAAGGTCTATTGACTTTGAAACTTTTCATAGTTTACATGTATTAGATTGTGATTAGGTCAATTTATAGCCTTAGGGAACCAATGATATTTGGTATGTAGTTGTATAAGCATAGTTTGAATGGTTTTACACTAGTAACTATCGATCGGAACGGCGTCTGAAAAGTTCTAAAAAGTCTTGACGTTTTTCTCTAGCGGTAAATCCAGTCGATTAAGATATGATCAGACCAAAATGACCGTTTCAGACTGAAATCGTGCTACTAGTGCTACTAGCCATGCCAGCTCCAGACCTCAATTAAACTGATTGAAAGATTATGTCTTCATCATATGAAAATCAAGAACAATCCCTCCCATTAGGGGTTTAGTATCATACCATCATAAAATATATGAGACATATATCGAAAAAAGATATTACTTGTCTCAAGTGTGTTCAAATCGGGTGCAATTAACCTGCCCATTTTGTCATCAAATCGCGAAAAAAGCTGACGCAAAAAAAAACCGATATAGGTGTCAGACCACCAATTACTCCCTCTAATTTAGAACGTATGTAAAAGTAGCCCTACTCTGACACAAAATAGTGCTTTTGATGTCCTTGTTTACTTAAACTAACAAACAAATTTGCAGAAATGAAACTTTTGGTGAAAGAGAAATATATTTAGACAATTTTGAGCAAAAATTTACTTGTCTATGAGTTTGCATTAAAAATTGAGGAATAATGCGCTCCATAGTATACTAATTTAAGATTTCCAGAAAACCAGGGGTTATTTTTGGAGTACCTCTTTTTGAAGGTCAGTTTTTGTCTTAGAAGGCTTTAAATGTATGTTGAAAATTGGCATGCAGAAAGCTGATACATGCACAATTCAGGATATACCTGATTTCTATGAAGTTAAACTTAAGGTAAAATATTTAGAAAGCTGTGAAAATTGCAAAATTTGGTTGAACAGATAGGAATATTTAATTGGTGGTCTGACACCTATACGGTATATAATATATTAACATATTCAAAAAGTTGCGCTGAATTTCTATATAATACCATGATTACAAGGAGATGAGGGGCGTACTTAAATAAGATAACAACACAAAAAGTCATTTACTTCTAAACTGTTCAACTAACGATCTTCTACAAAGGACAAGTCTTCATAATATTTTTAAGTTCTAAACTTTCCCACGTGTGAAAAAGTTGTGAATATATATACATAGACCCCCTTAGATGAAACTGAGAATGGAAATGGGGAATGTGTCATAGAGATAACAACCCGACCAAAGAGCAGAAAACAGCTGACGGCCACAATGGGTCTTCAACGCAGCGAAAAAATCCCGCACCCGGATTTAACATACAAGATTAACAAAGAACAGAGGCTCCTGACTTGGGACAGGCGGATAAATGCAGCGGGGTTAAACATGTTTTGTTAGATCTCAACCATCCCCCTATACCAATATACTCTAGCAAATGTAGAATAAACAAACACACAGCAATACGCACAGTAAAACTCAGTTTAAAAGAAGTCCGATGTTAGAATAGGTAACAAAAGAAACTAAGCAAAAGGCCAATGATACATAAATTAACAAAGGACTACTGGCCATGCCAGCTCCAGACCTCAATTAAACTGATTGAAAGATTATGTCTTCATCATATGAAAATCAAGAACAATCCCTCCCATTAGGGGTTTAGTATCATACCATCATAAAATATATGAGACATATATCGAAAAAAGATATTACTTGTCTCAAGTGTGTTCAAATCGGGTGCAATTGACTTTTACATTATTTGGCATGAAAAAATCATTTAATTTTTTCACAAATAAATCATTTAACGTTAAGCAATTGCCTGTGTGAATGTTGAATGACGCTAATACAGATACTCCATATTTGTTTAACTCTCTGTTTTGCAGTGAAAGTTTTGATTTGCTACTATTTGTTACCATGAAAAACATCAATAATATTAACGGTACCAATAAATCATGAATAAAATTAAGAAATATGATATACTAAATATTGTTTACAATTATTCTTTTCTGTATATTTTAAGATACTAATACGAGGATCAGCAAAAAACAGATGAACTGGTTTGAAAGCTTTAATTTCTGTAATATGAGTACCGACAAAAATATTAAAGGATTCAACGCAGGGAATGCCTGGATGGGTGGTTATTTTTTACATATACCATGGATGATTCATAGAGGTGGGTATGCAAATCTGCTGATATTTTTTGTTTTATCATTATTCATAGTCATGCATATATCGATATGAAATCAAACATACACTATCGTCAAAAAATATAAGGAGCGCAAATTGAAAAAAAAGGTAAAAAAAATTAAAAAAACATGATGATATAGACAGAAAGCGAAATTCTAAGGTGAAAAGTCGGAACGTATGAAACATGACGATTAAAATCAAATATAAAAATATCTACGAAGGCATTAAAAAAGAAAAAAAAAACGAACAACCCTCAATAGTCGATACTAAAACCTGACGATTGAGGAAGACAAACCCCCTTCAAAAATCGTTGGCTACCTCAGGTGTTCTAAAAGTTCAATTTCTAAAAATCTGGTGATAAACTGGATTCGGTGATCAGTCAAAGTGAAAGCGGCATTACAAAATGATCATATCGGAGAATACATGGGATACAAATAATCTCAGTAGTTGTCGACCACGTCATGAAGACGTCCGTAAAATTTAAAAAGCGATGATTTCAGCTTAGCTACTTTAAAACCGAGATACAGTAACTTCCTGAATATGTAGGTATGCAGCAATCCATTTCTATATATAAAAAAAAACTTAAGACACAAATAGCCATCAAGAAAGCAAAACAAGTCTACAAAATGGATAGGCGTTTGTACTTTTCGTCAGAAACGCTGGAAAACCAAAAAGGTTTGAAACAAAACAAAAAAACGACAGATCCTAAATAGAACAGTTTTAAATCGTGTGTAAGTTTTGCACTAAGGAGTTTAACCTTAGTGCAAATGTAAATAATTTTATGAACAGGATATTTGCAAAGTTTTTAAAATCATTCCAACGTTTAAGAATCGGTGGTTTACTTCAAACTACGATCAATGACAAACGTGACGATTTCAACTTTCACATCGTCAATGTCCCATTCCTCATAGCAGATGCATATCCTCTGCCCCATCTTATTGCGTTTTTTATTTTGTTTCATCAGTTGTAACGTTACAGCCATATATCAGCTTTATTTACAGGGGTGTGCTTCGAATGCAAAACAAAATGTTGAAGCAGAGTTATGAGAAAGAAAGTCTGCAATCGACACTACACAAGTTTTATGGCCACCATCGATCATTGCTTTATCGATTCGATGTGTTTACGTCTCAACTTTCTCGCTCCAATTGGAGATCATGCGATTGATCTTTTTTGGTCTATCTTTATGCAATTGAAACATTCACACCCTAATTTACACTCAACTATATCTCGGAAAATGTATTTGAAATATAAATACAAAACTTTTGTAAATATTATGACGGAGTTCAACATACTTAAATCTTTGAATATTGTTTTTATTGGTAGGAATATTGATTTTGTTATCAGTAGATTAAAACCATACTAAATATTATTGTTATACACATATGCACTTTCAATTAAGCATTTTTCAACTGATTTTTATAGTTTTTTCTTATTTTGTGCTGTTACACCACTGTTCAAAGTTAGGGGGAGGGTTTAGCTCTCATAAACATGTTTAACCCCGCCACATTCTTCATGTGCCTGTCCCAAGCCAGGAGCTTGTAGTTCAGTGGTTGTCGTTAGGTCATGACTGTTATATTTGTTTTTCGTAAATTGTTTTGATATAAATTAGGCAGTTCTCAATTGAATTGTTTCATATTTTTCATGTCGGGGCCTTTTATAGCTGACTAAACGATATGGGTGTTTCTCATTGTTGAAGCCCGTACTGTTGCTTTTAATTACTTACATCCACCTCATTTGAACTTAGGTGAATAGTTGTCTCATTGGCAATCATATCACATCTCTCGTTATTTTTAAACTGTAGTTAAATGCTAGTTTTCATAGACATCAGCGAGATCGCTCATTTACTTACCGTTCACTCAAACAACGTACTACACAGAAATAATGAAATTTCCACCATTTCCCTCGTAATTTAAATATGTCAATGTTGTATACATGTATATCTACGTGTGTGTAATACCTGTACAAATCTGTTCATACTACACAATTCTAAATAACAGGCTGTTTATTAGTTAACGGATCATGGGATGCATCTGCTCGTTATTCTTTCAAAAGAAACATAACGTCAACATGTTCCTACGAATGCAGAACAAGCAATTTTTTTGCACTAAAGGTAATAAATCATTATTTAACATAATATATATATATATTCTGTTATGTTATGTTCTATACTATCTTTGGTGTTATGTAAGGGGGGAGTTGTGTTTTTCTGTCAATATCAATGATTTTAAAACTAAATGTTGACCATCTAATAGAGTATTTTTTTTTCGCATGAGGGTTTGTTATGAAATAAGGACGTTTTTGGCAAAAGCAAGATAAAACTTCATCTGTTCTAAAGAAATTCATATACCACTTTTAATCCACATGCACTTAAGTAGTGAATCTTTATATTACACCGCATTGGTGTTGTACAGCTTACTTAATGATATCCAAGGTTTTTTAGTTAGAACAATCGTGAATGACCATGGCAATCTTTTTCACTTATAATTTTGACTGTTTATATCACATTTCAAATTGATCCTTGAGTAATATCTATCATTTCAGCGCGAATTCGTCTTAAAAATAATCAAAAACAACAAATTGAAGAAATATATAATATAACTGTTATTTACATTTATGAACTTGTTTCTTATGCATATCACTTTTAATAATTCATAGTTCGGATTTGACTCTACTGTCTGGTTTTATCAGCTCTTCAACGTTTGTATTTTTTGTTTTTTTTATTTCAAATGTTTTGGCATCGATCATCACTGAAGAGACTATATCACGAGCCACACGGTGGATGCCACATTTGAAGCAGTATCTGCTGACCTTTCCAGGACACCTTAGATTACTCCCCGTTTTTTGTGGGGTTCGTGTTGCTCAGTCTTAAGTTTTCAATGTAGTGGTTTGTAAACTGTTGTCAAGTGTTCTTTACATTAATTAAAAATGTATTAACAAAAATGCCGAACTCCGAGGTAAATTCAAAAATGGGGAAGTCCATCAAACAAGACAAATCAAGAGCGCGACTATATCAAACAATGGAACGAATGGTAAACAACTGTCATATTTCTGGAACAGGCCTTTTCCAATACAATGGTGGGTTAAAACTAGTTGTGTATAGGTCCGTTATATTGACAAAATTTGGCAATTAACTTAAACAGACATAACTGGTTAACGTGACAATAATTGGGATACAGCATCCAAAAAAAAAAGTTAAATCACAAAAATACCGAACTCCGAGGAAAATCCAAAACGGAAAGTTCCTAATCAAATGGCAAAATCAAAAGCACAAAACATCAAACGAATGGACAACAACTGTCATATTCATGACTTGGTACAGGCATTTTCCTATGTAGAAAATGTTGGATTGAACCTGGTTTTATAGCGCTTAACCTCGCACTTGTATGACAGTCGCATCAAATTCCATTACATTGATAACGATGCGTGAATAAAACAAACAGACATAATAGGTAAAAATGTAAAATAGAGGTACAGCAGCCAACACCGTGTCAAATTCTTAATCACAACAAAAACGAACAAATATTTAACAAAGAAATACAAAAAAGCATATATTTTTAACATCCTCGTTCATTGCTTACTTATTTTTGTATTTTATTTATGTATGCCAAATCAACTAATAAAGGATCGAGGGATTTAAAGCTCTGGGACCGAATCGTAATTTTAACATTAACTCTGGCGTAGAATAGCGTGTTTGACATCAGAATGTAAACGTCACACAGAAAGAGATATAAAATAATTTTGTCGTTCAAAGTATGCAAAAATTATAATAGAACAATAACACAATGGCGGGATGTTTAAAGTACAGAGACACGTCATATGTATCAAAGAAACATAAAAATTCACACGGACAAAGCACATAATGAAAAATGAAAAGCTGTGTAAACATACATAGCAGACATACAACTCAACTGACTTAAAAAATCAATAAAACATACAAATAAATCTGAGCCAAAAATGTGTAAACACAGATCACAGACATACAACACAACTGACTAAAAATTCAAACAAACATTCAAATAAATCACACAAAAACGTACAAATTAGGTAAAACGTAAATACAAGGATATACAAAATAAAAATAAAACGATATAAAACCTTATGCGTTGAATCGTTTCTCGGTATCCATCCGCATCATGAACGCCCCAAGTCACAACTCAAAAGCCTGGATGCACAAATATCAAGCCCCGTCAAAGCAATTCGACCCAAAGTAGCATAATAGTACAAAGACAAATCAAGGTAAAACTGTGAAGTAAATAAAAAGATACAAAACGTCAGTACCTAGAATATATAACTAAAGACGATCCTGTATTATTTGTGAAGTAGACACTGAATATTTAGCTATTAGGTCTTGGCATTATTCGATTAACTTTTTGGGGAAAGGGACGGGATTTTCTTTGAGAAACCCTGGTTCATTTTTTTTTATCAGACACGGATGACATTTTAGAAAGTTAGAGTGGCAGTTGCAAGCTCTCGATTATCGCATGCGTTGATAATGTATACTATATATACTCGTGAAGTTGGATTATTGCTGCTAACATGAGGAAAATTCATCATTTCAAAATTTTAGTAATTGTTTTCGGTGTACATAAACAGGAAAATCAAGTTAAGGAGAGGTGTTTGAAAAAATTACCAGTCTTGAAAAGGATTTTCTGTATTCTACCATATCTCAACTGGAGTTTTTCAAAAATACCTCTCCCGAACATGATATATCTGTTCATTGCAAAATATAGTAATAACTGTGCATTGAAAAAGATGTGAAGGAATAGCTCTAAGCAAACATTTACACTTTGTTGTGTAAAAGTACAACCAATGACAACATCACACATTTAAACCAAATTTAAGCTTATTGGACACTTTTTTTTTATTCATAAAAACCAATCAAAGATACCAGAATTATAATTAAGTACTCAAGATGTGCATTTCATCTACCTAAGACTCACTAGTAGCTCTCAAGTGATTTAAAGTTGTAGAACAAATAAATATCGAAGTTGAATATCATTGAAAACTAAAAAAATCCAAAAGATTGTGCAAATAAGACTTGACCTTCGAAGCATGGGGTATATTAAATTGAGTCTTTTAAAATATGTTAACATTTAATTAACAGTAACTCATCAATGATATTTCATGTCAGCACATAATTCGACTACTGGCAGGAAATTTCCTTGGACACAAGACGTCCCCCAGCAGCAGCACCAAACGAAGAAGTTGAAAATTCATCAAAGATACCGGACATTTAATCTATAGTACGCTGAACCAAGGAGATTGTATCATGATATAACCTCCTGGCTCAGTGTACGTTTTCTCCACATAATACTCATTAATGGAGCTCTAATCAGACTAGTTGGAAATCAATTACAAAGATGAAGAAAACTAAAAACTAAATATTAAAAAAAAATGATCCCAATCTAGCCAAGATCATGTATTTACGATGTGGAAAAACCTCAGAGTTTCGAGTATTTAAATATTATTTGAACGGTTGACTAAGAGGAGTTTGATTTACGATCATGTTTTCACTTTTCCCATTTCTGGTGCTAACAAATGTCAACGCATTTAAACAGAAAGATATCAAGCATATCTATATAAGATAAGGAACTTTAATAAAACAATTCACTTAAAACCAAACAATTTTTTTCAAGAAATTTTGGGAACAATGATATTTTGTTTTAAGTATACTTCTTAAAGTTCTGTTATCAAGTACCCAAGTTTTTTTTTAAACAAATATATTGACAGGAAGTAAAATAATCTTCTTTTTACAACAAAATGACAAAAGGAAACAAGACAAACAGACAAATCTAAGCCAAAGAAATACTGCACCGAAACTGAGCAACTTGAACCCACAATAAACGAGAAGAATTCAGGTGTCCCGAAGGGGTCATAAATTCCTGCTCTTTTAGTGGCAAGCCAACTTCGGAACTTATAAAAAAGGAAAGGATGACGAGATTATAGCTCCATCCATGATGTTTTGAGCTCTCACATATACGAAAAAAAAATACCAAGGAAAATTATTTTTTTTTTATTAATTTCATTAAAAGAGTGATTATATACTAATTTTCATGTTTTTCACACATCAGGCAAATTGGTGTGTTTGTCTACACTCGTTAACTAACTTGTTAGAGACAGATATTGGCGATTGCAAGATTATATGTACTGGTTCCGAGATAGATCCATGTGGTGACGCATCGTTTTTTACAGTTTATGAACATAAAGGTATATTATATATGTATATAACCACTAAATAGAAAACCTCATTGTGAGGATGAGACTAGACTTATGGTAAAAATATCTGGAGAAACAATTATCAAAACTGAACACCATGAATGGGCAGAATATTAATTTCGTTACAATTTTTTTACAATCTATCTATTACACTCTAATGACATAACTGTTAGTATTTTTGGATTCATTTAACATCTGCAGAGGAAAATCAAAATTTAATAAATTAAAATGTTTTAACGATTATTTAATTTTCAAAATTATTAAATATTGGTACTCATTATTTCTGGATTGTAAAATTTTTTTTAAGAATGTTCAAATAAAATTACATGGTTCAAGGGTTATTAAGTTTACACAATGGTATACAGGGGTTAAACACGTTCAATTATTGCAAAATACAAATCTTAATATCTTATTCTACAAGATGTACATGCATATGTTTATGTTTTGTTCTAATTTTAACATCTAGAGTGGTATTATAAATGTTTATGGTACATTGATGTGAATGTAGGCAATAGGATCAGATTTATAAGATATTTTTCTTTGTATTTTAACAGTTAATAAAACGTTTGCTTTAAACAATTGGAAAGAATGTATGTATGAAATAAAACATGATATGTGCGTATATCGCTATTTAAAGGCAAACAAAAGATAATCCATAATACATGCGTGGCAATATAGTCCAACAAAAGGATAAATGTATTTACATTACAGAAAAATTCATGAACAATGTTTATGACAGAAAAGCTATTTATTATTGAGAAAAATCTACAACTTGATATTAAACTATCCCCATTTGTTTATTTCAGATATCAAATCCCTACGTACTACAACACCTCATAATTTTAATGTTGGACTATGTTCTTCAAAGATAAGTAATACTACTGATATTAAAAATGTGAACCAAGAAGAGAATAGGCCATCATCCTTCAGACGACATAAAATTAAATGGATAACGAATAAAACGCTCAATGATATTTGTTGTGAGTGTATTAAACCATTATATGATTTTATTTCCTAATTCAAGCTTATCAGACTAAAATAAAACAAAACAGACAACCTATGCAGATGTTTTTTACTGCGGTTAAATAAGCTAAACTTCTGCAGAAGCGGACTCATTTAGAAATAAGAATATCTGCCATGATTATTCATGAAAACAAAAACCCATACCGTATATTGAAGCAATAAATGTCCAAAAATGGCAAAATGTAATTGAATTCAAACGGGGAATAACAACGACCTGCTTTATGTAGAAAACAATAAACGACAAACAAATATGATAGACCGCAATCAACAATAACCACCGAATTACAGGCTCCTGACTTGGACAGGTAATACAGAATGTGGTTAGGTTAAATAAGTTATCGAGCGCTTGTCCCTCCCCTAACTTGGGACTGTGGTGTAACAGCACAACAAAAATAATTTATGAAAGTAAAGTGTGCAATAAATTCAGTGGAAATTTCATCTTTCTTTCAACAGAGAATTATAAAACGACAAAATTGTGGAAAAATAAAGACAGTAAAAGAAAATTCATAAAATATGTTATGGTTCTTTAAAATGTATGGCCGATACGGAGCATGCGCATTTGCATATGTCCGTTCATTTTCATTACTTCAAATAGTGGATCCGATTACAGCCCTTGTATGGATAATTGGGGTAATTCTAAGTTGTCCAAATAAGAATTCAGAAACATGTAGGACATCCAAAGTTTATTTACTGATCATTAATGTAAGGGATCGACACAAATATGGATAGCAATATCGACTATGCACGAACTGAACTTAATTACTGCCTATATCGTGAATACCAAATAATGAGACTTCCTGACTACCATTTTTCATATGGGCGGGGAAATGCATATGAATGGTAAATAAATTATAAAAAAGTGAAAAAACCCCAAATGGATTATATTCATTGATATCATTATTTATTTCAGATGAGATGAGTAACGCTTTGGATGTCAAATGTTTATTAGTAAATGGAAGTATGCACTATGTCCCTATGGATTGTAACAGTAGATATCCAGCTCTATGCGAGACAGAAATTGAAAATGATAATTCCCTGCTCGAAACTTCTGTTAAGTTTAAAGGTAGAAAAAAGTATTTAGTTTAGTATATAAGTTTTTTCTTTATATTTATATATAATTCTGATAAAAAAAAATATTATACTAAAGTGAAATATCCTGGATAATCCTGCAATTTGATTGGTTACCTTGACAAGGTATATGAGCCCATGTACCATGTGAACAAAAACGAAGATCAGAATGGTAATCAATGTTGAAATTATGACACTCCAGTATAACTTCATGTATTATGGTCGCTATTAAAAAAAATCAACATCTTCTATTTTTTCATGACAAAAATGTTTTCCCTTTAAACATGATAAGCTCTCTTCGAAGTTTTTTACTTTAAACTTTGGAAATTCCTGGTGCAGGTGGGTCCTGATGTGCGATTTGGACACGAAGTGTCTTTACAGTGTTGTTTCTATGTTGTTTATCCTTGCTTTGATATTTACTCTTTTTTTTAATAAAGAAAGTGTATACTATATTCGTATGTACTATCAACCACAAAACGTAAATGTCAAATTCACTATTTACAACACCTTTTTAGCGTCTTTTTTAGAAGTATTTGTATGTTTGTTCGAATTTTTTAGTCAATTGTTTTGTATGTCTGTGATGTATGATTACACAGTTTTGGCTGCTGGATCACAATTATTGTCACATTAAACTATTATATCTGTGTAGGTTGCTCACCCAATTTTGTCGATAAAACGGAACTGTCATACAAGTTGGAGGTTTAGCTAGCTTTAAAACCAGGTTTAACCCACAATTTTCTTCGGAAAAGGCCTTTACCAAGTCAGGAATATGGCAGTTGTTTTTCACTTGTTTCGTTCATAAATAGCGTTTGATTTTGTCAGTTTTTCTAGACTTCTCCTTTTTAATTTGCCTTGGATTTAATTTTTTTAAGACTTTTACGTGTAGACGAAAACAGATCATATTTGTTTAGATTCACAAAGAGTAGTATGTCATTGCATCGGGAAAGGCTTAAAAAATCTTTGACAAGAGATAAAAGCTTTTTTAAAGTTATATTTAAACTATAAGACAGTAGTTCTCATGTCTTATGAAAGCCTAGCATGAGTATCCGGGCTTCGAAATCCAATATTTAAAGAAGCTAATCAAACGTAAGACCTTTACTGTAAAGGTATAAAACCAAAAAATTGACTTTTAACAGATGACGGTTCAATATCTTTGAATAATAAAAAACTGTCATGAAAATGACATTGATGACATAAAACTACTATATATTGAAAATACAATTTATATAAATAAACGTTTTGGTCATCTTAAGGAAATATGATCAAAACGTTTAATACGAAAAAAATGGGTTATATTTTTCAAAAATCTAATTTCATTTCACTTTTCTGTTAGTGATTAAAACATATTTTTGAAGCTTCCATATTTCTATTCCTTTTACTTAAAAAGAATTGCGACGGCAGATCTCGGTTCTGTGGTTAGTATAATTTTATTGAGGTATTAGTCCGGAATTATATTCTAGTCTTCAATGTAGGCAAGTGGCCATTGTTGAAGATGCATATAGGTCCAGGTGCGCGACACACACTCTTTAGTGTCATTGTCAATATAATGGAATTTTATGCGACTGTCATACAAGTGACAGGTTAAGCTAGCTATAAAATCAGGTTTAATCCACCATTTTCTACATTAGAAAATGCCTGTACCAAAGCAGGAATATGACAGTTGTTATCCATTCGTTTAATGTGTTTGAGCTTTTGATTTTGCCATTTGATTAGGGACTTTCCGTTTTGAATTTTCCTCGGAGTTCGGTATTTTTGTGATTTTACTTTTTAGAACCTATAGATTTTATTATTTTCATATTGACTACAATTTAACCGAATACATTTTTTTTTCAGTTATTTACGTTGTTGCCACATTGATAGTCATTGGACTAGTGGTAATTGTGATCCTGATAATAAGAAAACGGTATTTTTTTTATGATATTTATATGTTTTACTATGATTACTATAATTATTGTATAATTGTATTCATTCGTTCACCTGTCAAATACTAGTTTGTTTCAAACAAATTATACTTACTTCCTGCATGTAATTTGATAACTTAGTCGAAGATATATAAAATCAGGTGTAAATGTTAAACCACAATTCAACAAATCTGAATATGGAATTTTATTTCTAACATTTTATTTATCGTTGAATAATTGTTTTAGGAACCGTATCAAACATTATTCTCATAACACTAGATGCGATGGTACGAATAGGACTGCTGAAGGAGAAGAGCTCGTCCAAATGACAAGTAGCAACCACAGATCTAACTTCCGATCATATGATGTACCATTGGTTTTTCAGCAAACCCATTGTTTTGAAAATTATCCAGTCACCGAGTATGAGAATTTTGCTTTACATGATGAAGTTCAACAAAGGTCAACAGAAGTACACGATACACACTACCCTGCTAGTAATAATAATGATAATAATGGTGGGAAAAATTCGAATAAAGAAGGAACTGCAGTGAGTACAGAAATTGAAGAAAAGGAACAACTTGCATACCGCATTTCTAAAATAGTTGCTGATGAAGTCATGTATGACTTACCTCAAGATCCTTTTTGATAATCTATCTTCGATGTCCAGTTTAATAACGATATAAGTGTTGACTCTATGAGCTGTCTGTCGTTTGAGGATGAGTTATTGTTCTTGTGTTGGTATTTTCAGAGGAGTTCCTATTGGAGATTATATAACTTAATATAACTTAATTATGAGATCGAAGAACAACTGATACGTTTATTTGAGCAGTTGACATTTGTCCAACCTTAAAAAATGATAAACTTAACTTAAAACCCAGTTTACTCTGTCTCTGTTTCCTGTCAACTGATGGATTTTTTTTTTAGCAAACATAGTACAAATTCAAAATACACATTTTTCGGTATACATATATATACTACATACATGCAAATGTATGGAAAATGGAAAAAGAAATGTATTTTGAATTTGTTCAAGAGAAATTTGATGCAAAGCTTTGATTCGCCATACAAATTTTAAAAGATTACATTATTTAAACATGAAATAAAAAATCTTCTCTTCTTTGGAATGTGTGTATCATAAGTAAGCTATTTACCCAAGCTTCCCGATGACGATGAACCAAGTGAATCGGAGCACGAAGGCGGCATATATTTTAATTTACACACTTTATATATATATATATTTGTGTTATGGAAAGGTTACTCAATTCCTCAACCTTTGGATTTTTTTTCAATTTCTTTGTGAGTATAGAAATTTGAAATAGGTTTCATTAATCGCAATATATACATATACTAAATAGTATAAGTAGTATCACTCTGTTATCAATTTAAAAAAAAAACAAATAACGCAAAGGGTTTTATTGGAAAGAGAAGACACACACGAACATTTCTTCCTCTGTCATTGACATCGATTTTATTGTATGCAAACATAGAATAATTCAAGCATCAATTTAAAAAAAAAACAAATAACGCAAAGGGTTTTATTGGAAAGAGAAGACACACACGAACATTTCTTCCTCTGTCATTGACATCGATTTTATTGTATGCAAACATAGAATAATTCAAGCATATAAAAACAAAAGAGTATGCGAATTAATTCTCCTTTTATGATTATAAGGAATAATTACTAACGGTCGATACATTTGATGATCTTAACTCATTTTTCTTTCTTAATTTGAGTCATTATGGATCTTCTAAATTCTGCATTCAACGAATTAATAATCATACAGGTTTATGGATTTTGGACACTGTCTCAGGATTAATAGAGCTTTCTTACAATTTTGATGAAAAGAACGTACGGTTGACAAATCGTACGTAAGACCCGTTTGAGGGATCCTTTATTTGACTTTTTGAAAAAAGTCATGGGACTTCGATGGCGTTTCGCCTATTTTTCCCCTTAGTAAGAACCATTACACTGCATGAACGTTTCGGAACAATGGAGATAACTCAACAGAATTTGCTAAACATAAGCTCTTCTTAAGAAGTTCCCCTAAAAATTAAAGATTGTTCTAAATCACTCTCCTCACCCAAAATCGATTACATCTATGTATTATTTAACCTGAGAAGGTAGCAAGGCAAAAAACCCAAAACCGATGTGTCTATACTTACTAAATTCTAAATATAGAAAACCGATGTGTCTCTACTTGTTGTTAAAATGTGTATGTAAATGAACAAATCAAGATCTATAATTAGCTGATCTATTATAATTAGAGCTCAAGAGCGGATTAAGGAGTTGGGCGCACCCGATGTGTTTCAACTTAGCAGACATTGTCAGAGCCTCCTATTCAGGATCTCCGCCTTGGTCTATTATACATTTATGCACTTCTCAGCAAAAGAATTTTATCGTAAAATTTACAGCATCATACTTCAAGAATGTCTTTAAAATAGCAATGTTGTAAACATTAAACAAAAGACATGCTTAAACAATTCCCGCGCAAATGTGTATAAACACAAGTATCCCATACCTATTATACGTACGATTTGAGTTATCTTTCATGGTTTGAATATGACAATTATTTTCAAATATACTTTGCAGGTGATCGCCCCATTATGCTTTTTCTATCTTTCTTTATAGTTTTTCTACTTTTTTTTTTGTTATGGGAAAAATATTTAGAAGGATATTTTTCTGAAAACTTATGAAATATCGAAATAAAGTTTGTCAGAATCTGTCTCTCTAAGACTATAAAAGTTGAAAATTGAGATAAAACAATCGCTTCCGTGTAATTTCTAATCAAAAGTATTTTTCATTTATTATAAAATGTATTGATAAAAAAATCCCTATATATGCTGCTTTTTTTAGAATTAAGGTGTGTTCGATTAGGGATTGTTCTGTACTACTTTGTTCAACGGGAATGCTATCGGAGTCAAAATACAAAAGACATTTCCAGGCAATTTTTTATGTATCCCTTCAAGTAAATTAACTTATAGTATTTTATTCATTTTATTGATAAACCGTTAAAAGGGGGGTCACCGAATTCATTGTACTGAATAAATCATCAAAGGAAATATGTAAGGTAGGTAATATTAAACAACATAATATAATAAGATATCGTTGCCAGATGCTGATCAATGATTTTAAAGGGGGAGGGGTATAGACAACGTTAGAAGTGGAACAAAAAATAGAAGTATTAATAGGATGTAGGGCCATATATATAAGTTTCGTTGCATATATATTTTACATATACATATTTTGGACGAGTAAAAGACAAAGTTTACCTCGCAATAAACCGATATAAACAAGAGGTCATAACTGTGAAACTGATATCATGCTTGATTTTTTTTTTTTGAAAACTAACTTGTTACTTTTGATAGACAAAGTTTTCAACAGACACTTGGCATTCCTACATTTTATGTAGTACTCTTCTACCTTGGAAATTTATCAGCAAGACTTCATAATTCAAACAGTTATTATCATCCATACATGTTGACAAAAGCTAACGTATAAAGTTAAAAGACTTAGTGGTTCTTAAACTTAGTATCCCCAAATCTGTACAAAAGCATTATAGAGGAGGCCATACATATAATTCTGTCAATTATTTTTGTTTTGATAAGGACCTGAATACTGAGAATTAAACCTCTTACCATCAGTTTCATTGAAATATATTGATTTAATGCGCACTAGAAATGTTATTTCAGGATGAAACTGCACAAATCTGGATTTTTCATAGACAGAATCTTTTTGCCATTGTGTGACCTATCAAGGGTATGATCACCTACACCTATTTTCCGATTCCTATTTTCAATTAACCGTCCATTCACTATTGGTATTGACGTCTTTTAACCAATGCAAGGCTTTGACTGCCAAGATTCAGATCATTTGCCTCGCCAGAAATAAGATTCAATCTACGCTACTGTCGATTGAGTGATAATTGTTTGCTTAACGTCCAATGGCAAATATTTCATGCATAATTAACGTGCAGAGATGCATCTGATTAAACGTCCACTCTCTGACCGGAAGGGACTGCGTACTTGTACATCCCGCACAATCAAACGGACTCCCAACTTTTGCAATGGTTAAACTGCCGATCGGAACAAGACCAATACTAGTAGTGATCATATTTCTATTCCCCCGATCACCTTTGAGAAGTTGCATACTGTCGAGGTGAGCGCGCGACAAAAGAGACAAATATGAATATGGAAGATACATATACATGTACGTGTATTAGCTAAAACATTTGCAGCAAGAATGTGTGGCCTTAAGACACCGTGCCCCTTCACTTTATCATATTTCCATTCTGTGCACTACTTAATCCCGGTCAAATTCTAATTTGGTATATAATTTTAAACGTTTTATATTTTGAACAGAACGGAAGAACGGACGGGTGCACAGACTAGTAAATATAATATGCCTTTGCTATCATTATTTGATCATAAAACTAAAATTATCATCCTACTGAACAAAACTTCCGTTCATGTCCGTTTTTCATACGTATTTGGATAAGTTAATCGCCAAACATTTTAGAAAAACAAATTAAGAGCCATGACGTTAAATTGCGCATACGTTGTACCGGCTCTTCTTATATTCCATGCAGTAAAAGTTTTGTTTTCAGTAAAGTGTAATCATATCTTTTCTTGAAGATGCGTCCTCATAAACTCCATTTGATAAAATTTTTCGGAAAGGTGACAAAGTACTATCAGAATGATGCATCAGTGATCTGAATTTTACCTTTGGCAAAAGTATCTTGAAATAAAATATAGAAATATGCAAAAAAAAAAAGAAGAAGCAAGTCGTGTACACCTTTTACTTTCCGACTTGTTTAATCTTATAACTTTTAAATCAAAAGTGAGAATATGATCGCTTCAGATTCCATTATTTTTATTCTTTCAAACTTAATTTTGATTTAGTAGCTTTAAGAATTCATCGTTCCTGAGATAAGTATATGGTTCAAGTGAAATGACGAAGTAATGATAGGTGCATTTGATTATCGGTAACTGAACTAAATATTCCCTTTAAAGGTTGTTGTCTACGAAATCATCCCAAATTTAATAACAAAATATGTAAATAATTAAAATAGAAGTTTGTGCTAATTTTTGAATATCATCTTTTCCAGTATAATATAATATAATATAGCATCTATAACGGTCAGATAGGTTGGTTATGTCGAGTAATGTCATTTTATTGGAAATCTCTAGTATGCGTCTCAGAACTGGTATGTCCTATGACACCGTAGATCTTAAATTCGTTTTACTGCACTGCATTGCAGTCAGACATATCTTTCGTTGGATCATTAAGAAAAACTGATTTTAGCACCAACAAGATAAAACTACCGATTTTTTATATATGGTACTACATTTTTTACATATACATTATTTAGGACATCATCAGTTTTTGAAGAGACGTAATCCTTACGGTGTTTGTAAGGACAGTTGAAACATATAAATGGATAAGCTTTGTCAACATCAATTGCATCGGTTGCAGCTTTTTCCAGTGTGACAAAGGGACTAGAAGCATGCTTGGAAATGTACAATGCATTGCATGTTCTGATGTGTACCGATTACCAGGTTGTCTCAATACTGATTTTATAAAATATCAGCTGCGAGTCACAATATGAAGCGTTTTGTCGAGTGAACGAACGAGTTCAAGAAGGCATCATATTGTGTCAAGCAGCTGATATTTCACAATATAAATATGATGAAAATCTGATAATCGATTTATCGAATTATATTTGTGCATTTTGAATAATAGAAACCGGAAGATGATTTGATAAGTTCGGATCAAAC